GTTATAAGTTCTAAATATATATTGTTTAAGATCTTATTTTCTTATTTAAAATAAATTATTAATTTATAATTTATAATATTAGATGTAACTTTTAGACAAATATAAATAAAATAGGTTATAATTGATCTTTAAGATTAATTAAAATCTAAAACTAAAATATTTTATAAAAAAGTTAAAAGTTATGTTTTTATTAAATAAATCCTATAAATATATTTTTTGGTAATTTTTAATTTTTTTATAAAATAATTATTACTAAAAAAAAATGATTTATAATATTATAGAATTATATAAATATAAATTTTATTTTAACTAAAATTAAAATAATTAAAAAATTATAATTTTATACAATTATACTTTATATATAGTTAATTTTTATATAGCAAAGTTGCTATTTAGGATATCAAATTTATTATAATCTTACAAATAAAGACTTTAAAGAATTTGATTAGTAACTTTAGTATGATCTTAATATATTGATTGGTTAAATATTACATAGGTTGATTGCTAAGAAAATCAAGTTACAAGAATTTTTTTAATAAAATTGAGAATTTTTATTACATTTTAGGTTTTTATATTATTAAATTAAAATGTAATAAGATCTTAATTTAAGTTAAAAATTTTCTCAAAACCTGATTTTTCTAGAAATCCTTTCACATAATAAATAAATTTATTATATTTAGAGTTAACTGTAATTACTATTCTTTAAGAAACTAATTATATAATTATATATAGGTCTAATTGTATATTATAATAATAAATATTTAATAATTCTATAAAAACATTATTATAATATCTTAAATAATATTAATATAATATTATTAAATATAATATAATAATATTAATATAATATTAATATTATTTTTAAATATTATTTTATTAATATTTAAATAATATAATAACATTTTAATGAAAAAATAATATAATTTGATTTTTATAAATTTTTTTATTTTTATTATTTAAATTTTTTTATATATTAATTATCAAATTATATTTAATTTTATAAATAAATAATCTTATTTTAAAAATATTAAATAAAGTAAAATAAAAAAAATTTAAAATTAAATATTTTTTTTTAATTTTATTTTTTTTAATAAAAATAAAAATTTTAAAAAATAATAAAATTTTTTATTAAAAAAATATTATTAAAAAAAAATATTAGGGATAAATAAAATAAAACAAATACTATTAAATAATAAATAATACAATTTAAATAATATTACTTTATATTTGTTCTTATATTACTTACTTATATTCAAAACTATATCAAACCATTTTAGTTTATGTATCACTTTTTATGTGAATTATATTTTGTTTAAATGTAAAGGTTCATTAATGCAGTAAATTTGTATTGTATTTGTATAAACAGGTTTAAATAATACAGGAAAAAAAAATAAGGTAATAATAATCTAAATGAATAAGAGTTCAAATCAAATAATAATAATAATAATAATAATAATTCTTGTAAAAAAAAAAAAAAAATATATATATATATATATACTAAATACACAATCATATACACGCGTCATACTTAACATCCACTACATCCACTAATCATATCAAATAATTCTCCCTATAATTAATTGACTATAAAAAACCATTAATAAATTTTTTTCTAATTAAAATGCCCGCTTCATATATAATATAAATAAATCGTAAAAGTTAATCGACTTTTTGTATTTATCTTCTTTTCTTAAATCAATAATAATATAATAATAAAATTATCAAAATATTATTTTATTGATTTCTAAAAATCTACATTTTTAACCTTTTGATATGTATCATTTTCGTATAAAAATAATCAAGCGGGCTCTCGAGAACCTCCTAAAGTATCACCATCACTTTCATTTCTCACAAGTGCCTCGTCAACGCCTAATGGATTATGTGATAAAATACTTACGGTTTGTTTTTTAATATCATTTACTCGCTCCGATGTTTGACCATGATCATCAACTTCGTTAAAATGAGATGTTTCAGCATTATAGGAAGATCCATATGACCGAGAAATTTCCTGATCACTTGAACCTCTTGCTGATACTGCTGATATTTCCGCTGCTGGTGTCGTAATATTATGAATGTTATGATTATGTATATGTGGAGATGAAGGGGGGGGCGGTGTAATTATAGCCGCATTTGTAGAATTT